ATTTAGTATTAGTATTAGTATTAATAATTAGTATTAGCTACCAGATATTAGTACCAATATTAGTATTAGTATCACTATTAATATTAGTATTAGTATTAGTCGAATTAGTATCACTATTGGTGACAGTATTGGTATTGGTATTGGTATCAACATGGTATCAGTACTGGTAGTGGCGTATACAACATATCTTTTTTGCAATATTTATAAGTTTTATTGTTGTTTAGTAATGTGCATCACTAATTGACTGCCATTAGTGATACATTTTCAGGTTATTTGAATATCTATTGTGTTACTTCTCTGCTACCGTGTTTGTTGTTACCTTAGTTATTTTGCAGAAGATTCACATGGTGTAGTAGATTGCAATCCAAGCATATCATATGTTTTAAATGATTTCACTTAATCTTGATATCGTGTTTTGCGTGCTTCATGTTCTTATTTTTAGTATTTAATTTAATTTCATATGTTACAACTCTAAATTAAGAGATAAAGTTTATATTTTTTATTTTCTTCCATTTTATTTTACTTGAATTGGTATTGTTATAAAGAGATAGTCGTTTACATAAGTTTATTTTTCTCATTTTGAAACTGACCTCCGTGCAACGCACGGGTGAAATACTAGTTAATTACTACAAGATTAATGCGCAATTATTTTTTAGATTGAATTAACAAAAGAAAAAAAAAAGATTGATAATTAATTAAAATAATAATAAAAAAAAAAAAAAAAGAACCCATCATCACATAATTAAAGAAAAAGAAAACCTAATTAAGTAAATGGTGCATGTAATATAACAGTAGTAGTAGTATTAGAGTTCTTGTGCAGTGAACCATTATATTCTTGAATCAACGTACACACATCAATGAACAGACAGATTAACTCACACTTCACTTCACTCACTCTCTCTATACATATTTATATCTAGAGAGAGAAAGAAGGATAGAGAGAGAGATGGAATTGAAGGTTGATTATTATCCGATCTGGAATTTGAATGTTTGAAGAGTTAGTTGTTGTTGTTGAATGTTGCCTCGGAAAGGAGCTAAGTTCAGAGAAGGTGCACGCACGCACGTGCAACACCCCATTACCCAAAATATTCATCTCATCTCCCCTAATAAATTTCATTTTGCAGTCAAACATTATTATTATATCATATTATATTGCCCCATACCTCTCTGCTCCTTCAATCCCATTCATTTCCATGCACTCACTACCCAGATCAGATCAGTGAGAGAGAGAGAGATTTACAGAGAGAGACCAGAGAGAGAGACCAGAGAGAAGGGTTTAAAGAAGGTTAATCTGATAAAGATATTATTGTTGTAATAGTTGATCAAATGCTGTAGCAGAAGAATACCTAAAAGAAGAATATATTAAATTAAAACCTCGTATTTCTTGAATAATAGATGCTTTTTTCAGACAAGAACTACATACAACAACAAGCTAAATGTAGTAATTAAGACATTGATCTCATGATGGTAAATCATGAAATCATATCACAAACAAATTCATGAATTTGTACATCCCTTTTAATTTCTCCATTTTTTTATGATTATTATATCCAGATGACACCATGAATTCAAAATTCCAAAAAAAAAAAAAAAAAAAAAGTAAAAACCCTAATTTTAGCAGAAATAAATCAAGAAGATCGAAGAAGAAGAAAACTAATGAATGCATGAACTAGTAGTGAAATTATACCATTGATAATAAATTAAAAAGGAGGGCGTGCTGCGCCCCAGTAAGCATCAGCTGGTAATTGCACTGAATTTAGCATATTCTGCGCCGCCCCTTGAAACGGGTTCGTGTTCGGGTCGGGCATCAGTTGCTGCCCCCCGCCGCCGGATATTCCCGGCGATCCCAGCTGCCCGCCGCCGCTGACCGCCGCTGCTTCTTCGTCCTCCAGTGGCAGACGCTCGTACGCTGCATTACCGAACGATGCGGCCATTATTACTACTGGCCCGGAAGCTAGAAGCGGGCCTACTACGGCTCCTCCGACGACCTGCCCTTGCGCGCCGGCCAGATATATTGTCAGCCCGGAGGCCGCCGGGGGAGCTGGCGGCGGGAGGAAGGAGCCGGAGAGGGATAGAATCTCGAATCTTCCGTGTAGGGTCAGGACGGAGCCGGGGGCGGCCGGCTGGCGGAGGGTTACGTTGGTGACGGTGCCGGTGCCGCTGAGGATGCAGACGCCCCTCTGGCGGCGCGTGGCGAAGGTGGAGATGCTGTCCTGGACGTCGCAGCCGTTGGCGACCTCCATCACGTGGGATCTGAGCGCGTTCGCGCTGTCGCGGGTGATTATGATGGGCGGCTTCGGCTTGTTCTTCGACCCAGCCGGTCGGCCGCGGGGGCGGCGCGTGACTTCACCGTGGTCGCCGCTGGAGCCGGCGACCAGGTCCTTGGAGTCGGAGTTCTCGCCGGCGGCGGCGGGAAACGTTAACCCGTAGTTCTCGTCTCGATCTCGTTTCAGCTGGCTGCGGTTGCTCCCGCTCTGCAATTCTTCGTCGGGATTCTGGTGGTGGTGGTGGTGGTGGAGCTGCTGCTGCTGGAATTGGTGGTGGTGGAGCTGAAGATCTCTGGCGTGAAACGGCGGCGGCAGAGGGCGGCCGTGAGTTAGCTGATCCATTTATTATTCAACTCTCACACACGAGAGAAATCAGCTTGATGAAATAATTCAGACAGTACAGTTTGTAGAGAGAGAAACAAAGATCTTGATCTTCCTCCTCGGATTAATATAACTACTTGGAATTCTTGCTGGTAAATTTTGATGCAAAGAATCAAAAGCAACTATATATATATGAATATAATTAATTAATTAATAAAAGGTTTGAGCTGAACTATATATATTAGCTTAGCCATCACTTCTTCCCACTGTAGATATTCTTCTCTTCCTTCTTCTTCAATTTCTATAACAGTAGAGAGAGAAAGAAGTGAGAGAAAGAGAGAGAGAGAGAGAGAGGATAGTTTGGGAGATATAGTGTTTTTTATGTTTTGGGTATTTTTTATTTATTTATTTTCCTTTTTTTCTTCTTTCTTGGGTTAGGGTTAGGTCAATATAATAGAGAGAGGATTGGATTGAAGATGAGAGAGAAATAGAGAGGGAGAGAGAGATGACAGCGTGCGCATGGCCGCGGGGACGGTGGGGAGTGGGACCCTCTTTCTCTCTCCTTTGTCTCTCTCTCTCTTAAACACACTCACCATTTCAATTCACACCCTAATTCTATTAAGTGAGATTAATTAAAATTGATTAATACACTTACATATGAAAACACGCACTACACACACTCAAAATTAAACTACCAATATTACCGCCAGAAAGATTAATTATATGTAATTAGGCTCATTTCTTGTACTTCTCATGAATGCATATCCAATTATATTTATTAATTACTACCTCAAAAACAAAATTAGTTAATTAATTAAGTAATTAAAAAAAAAGGAGTAAAATGGAAGGAAGAAGAAGAAGAAAATGAAAAAAGAAATAGGGTGAAGAAGACAAGGAGAGATTGGGGAGCAGATATGGGAAATTGGAAACTGATATATATTTATATGGGATTCTGTCCCACCCCCAGACCTTGTCTCAAGGGGGCGCCTCTCTCTCTCTCTCTCTCTCTCTCTCTCTCTCTCTCTCTCTCTCTCTCTCTCTCTCTCTCTCTCTCTCTCTCTCTCTCTCTCTCTCTCTCCATTGTCTCTCTTCATTTTTTTTTAATTATAAAAAAACAAATTACTAATTTTCAATAAACTTTTACTCTCAATTAATTACCCTTGTTGGTTGTGTGTGATTAAATAACCTATAGCTACATTCAATTAAGAGTTCGTTTAAGCTAAGTTTATTTTAAATATTTGCTAAACTTTTAGGTTTGACGTGTTGTTTTAAGAGATGATAAGGTGTTCAGTCTCTTTTTTAGAATTTAATTTTTAAAATGCTTGGATAAAGAGCTTATAAGCTATCCTTACTTTTTTTTCAAATCATAAAATCTCTTCAACAACTTATTTTTTTTAATTTATAAGATTCTTTTGAAAAATATTATGAAACATTTTGGAAGAGCTTATAAGGTCTTAAATATCTTAGAAGCTCTTTTTAACAGCTTATAAGTTTAGTCAAACACTCTTTAATAACAATCCACTAAGCACACATATGCATTGGTGTGCGCGATTACGTGTAAATCTTCGGTTGAAATTCACCCATGTATAACATCTAATAAGAAGAAGAAAAAAAAATCTAAATGCATGGCTCAATCTATATATGAGAGAGATTTGAGAGTTATATATTGGAGAAATATTACAAGATGAGCTTTAGGAGTTGTTAATAAATTAGTTATTGAATAATGAATAAGATTTGAACTTACTTTCTTATATGATGCATGTATGATGATTGATCAACAATAATTGTTTCAAAACTTGCCCTTCCAATTAAATAATCATTGAGCATCTCATTAATTTTAGTAAGAGTTTCCTTAACATGATTAATAAGAATATATGTCTCACACACACACACACACAAAACCCTAATGAATTTATTTATGATAATAAGAACAAAACATCATATATATAATTTGAGGGGAAGGCATTAATTAATAAGCATTTTAACTCGCTATTTTTTTTTGTGGCTGCATTTGTTCTCCAAATGATTGGCTTCTTTCCAATCTCTTTCTCAAGTCAACATCAATTTGTTTTTATTCCTACCCCCCTCACCCCCACTAAAAATAATCATGAAAAGAAACAAAAAAAATTAAAAATTAAAAAATAAAGAGAAAAAAAACTTTTGTTGGCTATTAATAATCTCTCATCAAATTATATAACATGTTTCTTCACAATAATTGTTTAAGCATTTATATACATATGAGGATTTTTTTAATAAAAAAATGGGTTTTATATGCATCCATTAGTTTTTAAATAAAATAAAAGTGCCTTTAAAATAATTATTATCCACTGTCCAATATTGTAGCACTAAAAAAATTATATAAAACAGTATCCATATGCATGACACTATATTATATATAGTTGTTTGTTGAAATGTATGTTATCTAAATTTATATATCTTTCTCGATTGCATTGTCCGTTTATATATTTATTATAATTAAGAGTTTATCAATTATTTAAAATAAATTTTGTTAAACGGGCCATTATATTATTTAAACTTATTTAGATCTATTTTAACCTACTAAGCGAATAAATGTCATAAGTTGGGCATGAACCAACTAATCCATTCCTAAAACACCATAAAAGTAAAGTAATATCTCAAATCGACTTCGCTATAGTACATAAAAGGTTATGACGACCCTTCACTACTCTGCCTAACATCGAGTTTCAAATCCATCGAAATCGAAACGCAGGCGAACTAATTAATACGCAATATCTTCTGATTTAAGCATCACAGTGTAATCGTCGAAAAAAAAAAAACCATGACGTGTCATATCATTTTGAGTACTCTCAAGTAAGAAATACTTCAAGGAGCACTCTTCCCTTTGGATAGAAGAAAAAACATTGCAAGCTAAGCTAAGATTAAAAGATAATAACTACTTAAATTAAAGCAAGCTTTTTTTTTTTTTTTTTGATAATTAATTAAAGCAAGCTTTGGACCTTGTGCAGACAAGCTTAAGTAATTGATTAATTTAAATGTAATGCTTATCTTAATCAATCAACTCTTTTAAGACATAATTAATATAATAATATCCATTACCTTCATTAAACAATTGTGTTTAAGCTAGCTAATCCATGGTGGAAACTTGGACCACTTAGAAACAATTCCATCACTTTCATGTGATGTCCACACACGACTTTCGAATCTATCACAGATCGGCATCCATCCGCCCTCGATTTCAAAATATTTGTCGTTTTAGATATTATTTTACGAAAAAAGACTAAAATACCCTTCCTTGTTAGCTGTTTATCCACTAATTCTCCTTCGTTTAATCAAGAGTGATAAGGGCAAAACTGTAAAAGTGTTAACAAGTTAAACTATTAACAACTCATAAAATGACTTCTTAAGGTCCACAAGCATGGCATGATTGTAAATATACAAATATGTTTTAAAATTAATTTGTCGTATTAATGAGTCGATCGATCGAGCTCGAACGAACTTTTAAAACACTTTTTTGGTTGCATCCCATTTCCTTATTGCCTATGTAGTAGAAGACCAATAAGCGCTAATCTAGGGTTTACACAAGTTGAGATTAAATTAATGCAAATTGCATCTGTTACTGGGGAAATCTTACAATTAATTAAGGGGCTAATTAAGATTAAGAAATTAATTAATTAATTAATTAAGAGGAGGCGACCAAAGTTGAGGTCAGCACGTGATAGATAGATAGTGATCTGTTTGGAATCGTTTTTAGTCATCTCTCCACCAGCTAATTTTATCACCACAAGTTAGTGGTGGGCCCGGGTGCCTGTATTTTATTATTAATATATGATAATATATATATAATATACATATATATGTATCATAAATAAATGTATGTATACGTACATCTACATATGTCAACGATTTTTGTTTTGCTTTTTTTTTCTTTTTTTTTTATATATATATATAAAATGATAGACCATTTATTATTAAAAATAAAACCCGCGAATTCGCTCTCGTGAATATTTCATCCGTTTCAAATTATTTGTCGTTTTATTAGATATATAGTATTTTTTCGATATCAAGATTTATGGCTCTTTTATTTTTTTATTTTATTTTTCAATTTTGCACTTATTAGTTCATATCGTGGTCTAATTCAATGGCAAGTGATAATGTGGTCTCATTATATATATTTTCTTAATATTCAATCATATTGAATGGGCGATTGAAAATTTCTAATATCAATGATTGATTAACAATGTCAATATTCATTGTACAGTAGAACCTTAACAAATTAATACTCGATAAATTAATAATCTCGTTTAAATAATAATTTCTTCGGGTTCCAATTCAGTAAAATAATATATATATATATATATATATATATATATATATATATATATATATATATATATATATATATATATATATATATAAACTCAGAGAGATCTTGTAAACATTCCAAAGCTGTCGAGTTAAAGAAATGTTTTTTTTTCTTTGAAGTAAGCAGTTTGACGAGCATTGCAAAATTATTTATTTTTTAATCAATATAAAATAAAACAATTAAATAGTTTGATTTAATAATATAGTATGACAAAAGAAAGCAAAATGATTGGTAACAAGTGTAATTATTACTGAGTTAAGTAAGCATCAACTCTTTACTTGACATGTATGTATCTGTGTGTTAATTAATTAATTAATTATAATATTATTATGATATATAGTTAACAAAGTTGAAAATACCTGATTCTCATGCTGGAATTGTACTTCTATCTTAATTTTTATTAGTTAAAATTAGATTAAAAAATATTAGCTACTTGTGGGAGTAAATATATATATTATTAATTGTAACTAATTAATTAATTGAAAAGCATTTGTTTTTTTTAATATGTTAAAGAATTGTGAAACAAAATCCTGTCCCAATAACATGGAATTATATATGTTTGAACAGTACTGTGTATATCTAAGTAGATTTATCTGTCTCTTAATTAAAAAAAATCACAATGTAATAAAGAAATATTATGTACAACTAATGATGTTTAACTTGATAAAATAGAAATAAAATAAAATAAAATGAATAAATGTTGAATAAATACAATAATTACTTTAAATGTGTAATCATCAGACTAGTGTCTACGCCAGACGCTCGCTTTTTTTTCCTGAATTTATAAAGCTTTCCTCTATCAAAATTTCCAGTATTTTTTGTGCGTATTTAATCCAAAAAAACATCTATTTTTCTTTCAATTTCAAGACAAAATCAATGGACACAGATTCTTGAGTTAAGATGATTTTTGCCAGTTTATTAATAAAAGTTAAAAAAAAATATAATTTAAATTTACAAATTCAGCAACACTAAAATGTAATAAATTTTAATGTGAGAGTGAAATATAGGAATATTATTTAGAAAAATAAAGTTAAAGAGATGATAAACGGGGGAATGGAATTAAAAATTAAAAAAAAAAAAAAATTACTTGTATTTATTAAAAACCGTCATGTATTTATCATTTCAGTAAATAAAATTTACAAAATTAATTCAAATAATATGAAATTAATTGGGCTGGATATCTGTCTAGACCAACTCGGACTGTTGGAAAATTGGGCTTTTTCTTCATTTGGACTGAATAATACGTGTGTTTTAAATAGTGTGGAAATTGGACCAATTGGAATTAACACTTTCGAAAAAAAATGTTTTTTTTAGAAGCAAATAACTAATTCCAATCCAAAAGAATTGGAAAAATAAAAAAAATCAGATATTGGAAATTGAAAGGAAAAAAAATGTTCCAAAATCGAAATTTTCCCGAACGAAACTGGAGGAATTTGAAATTTCCAATTTTTTTTAATTATCTAAAATATGAAATACATATTAATATTGATACTGCGAGTGATTTTTTCATAAAAAAATTGAAAACCCTGAACTATTCATTAAATTTAAATCGGATCGAAAATCAAAACCTCATATATATTTCAATTTCGATCCAGGAAATCGTAAATCGGAAAATTCACACCAATTTCCACCCCTAGTCTTGAAAGTGAAATTGAGTAAGTTGATTTTAATTCTCGCAAAATATGCTAACCCATTAATTATTTAATTAACTAATAATAGTTATTGAAATGATATAAATAATAATAAGAATGTAATTTGTATTTATATTTTTTACTAGCTTGTGTAGAACCAAATTTCAAATATTAAAGAAATTTAATCTAAATTTCAAAATTGGATCTTGATTTTTGTAAATAGGGCGGTGCGTCCAACTCATGAAGACCGCCGACGGCAGATGAATGTACTTCCGGCGGAGCTCCGGCGGCGGTAGAAAAGTGACACGTGTCGAGTTCCCGGCACTGGTGATTCATCGTCCAAGTAGGGTGCAGCGTAGAATCAAATATGGATGACAAGTCATGATTATATGTTGATGGAACTGCTGAAACTGTTGGCAAGTCTGATATGGATAGTAAGGCCGGCGGCGGCGGTGTGAGCGGCGGCGGCAGCGCCGGTGGCGGAGTTGGAATCTCAAAGGCGGCGAGATGGGCCTGCAGGTAAGAGAGTTCTGCTTGCAGATTCACTACCTGTCGATAATGAATAATAATATATTTAATAATTTCAATAATGAATAAATGTATAAACTATTAAAAAAAATATAATAAATTAGCAAATAATCAATAATAATTTAATATACAGTTTTCATCCCTCTAGTTTGCATAAATTTTATATTCTATGTTCACATAAAACAAATTTGGTCCCTCATATTTCAAAAATTCAACATTTTTAGTCACTTCCGTCAATTTTCCGTTAAAATGAGCATAATCAAACGTGAATCCATCACTACCGTAACTGACGGGCTAAGAGAAAATTGACTAAAATCACCAAAATTATCAACTTATGAAAACATAAAAAACCAAATATATATTTTATAAACATAAATGACCAAATATAAAATCAATTCAAATTTAAAGTATGAAAACTGTAAATTTCGCACGAGTTAATACTAGACACGGCCACGGGCCGGGTTTGACCCGGACCCGGCCCGGACCCGACCCGAAGACCGCCCCGCCCCGCCCCGGCCCCGACCCGTTGACCATGGACCCGGACCCGGACCCGGCCAAGCACGGGTCGGTTTCGGGTCCCAAATATCAGGACCCGAGACCCGTCGGGTCCACCCGGCGGGTCTACCCGTGGGACCCGGCCCGGGAACCGGGTATTAAACCGGATTTTTTTTACCAAAAATGCACCTTGGGGGGTTCGAACTCGGAAAGATGAGGGAAGAATGAACAATTCTTACCACTGGGCCAACCAACATTTTTGTTTAAATGTAGACAAGAAATATATATAATATAAATCGCTGGTGTAAAATGATAAATATGTTAAAAAAATTATTAATTTTCATATTAATTGTTATTAAATAATTTTAATTAACTTATTAACAAATGCAATATAAGAAACTTTTAAAAAAATATATAGAATTACGATTCAATACTTCAAAACATTTATTAGTAATTATTATATCAATATAATCTCCACTATTGAAATATATGAAATATTGAATCAATTCAATATATAAACAAATGCGTTGATTCATATAATCTCTACTATTGAAAAATGTATAGGATTGAATCAATTCAATATTTAATCAAATGCGTATACTTAATACAAACTCACTTTTGTTATTAAAATCGATAGTGTGAAAAAATCGAATGAAAAATTAAATAATATTAGTATTTTAACATAAGATAATTATTTAAAAATATAAATGATGTTTATTTTAACAAAAATAGATTATATATGAATTCAATTAATTTTCTTACTTTAAAAATAATATTATATATGACTACTATATTCAAAATATTATGATGTAATTTCTCTTTTAATAATTGGTTTAATTTGTAAAAATCGTAAGAATTAAATTGTAGATCATATGATTTAATCCTTTTTTTTTACATATACATTTTATTCAAATCTTAGAATTGAATTGTAAAATTTAAATGGATTAAGCTCAAGTTCTTTCAATTTATTTTATTTTTTTTATTATATTATATTTGTGAATAATTTAATTAAAATTCTTTAATAATTAGGAATATGATAATTAATAATCCATTAAACATTATTTTTATAATCATTTTACACTATCTGTTATTGTTATATATATTTCTTGCAAGTAATTTCGCAAACAATTGCCTTGTCCCACTGGTTTGTATTGGCATTTTCATGTGAAGGGAACCAGAGTTCGAATCCCATTCCAAGCATATTTTGGAAAAAAATTCAAAATCCGGTTCGGACCCGGCCCGACCCGGAACCGACCCGGACCCGGGTGGACCCGAGTGGACCCGCCCCGGACCCGGACCCGCCCCTCCGCGGGTCGGTTTCGGGTCCTCCAAAACTCGGACCCGGACCCGGCGGGTCCGACCCGGACCCGACCCGACCCGGGGCCGTGTCTAGTTAATACTACCAAAAAATGACCGACCCGGCCAGTTCCTTAATAACAGCAAAACTAAATCAAAAGTTGACTTGACCATATCATAAGTTTGACCAATATCTTTTAATATGTTAGTGAATTTTAGAATATTCGCACACACCCCAAATTTTTTGAAATAAATACATAATATTATTTTCATCGGTCTATATTCTATACTATTCTACATTGATTGAAAAATACTAGGTAAATTTTTACCATTCATACATACACAAACACACACATGAATATTTGTGTTTGTAGGTGAACGATAAAAATTCAGCCGATATAACATTCACCGAATGTAACATTGATATAAAACCCGTGAAACTTATATTATTATTAATCAAACATAACGTACATGGAATGATTATCATTTCTATATAGAAGATCCAAATTGCACTGATTTTAAGGGGATTTGAATTTTGAAGCCTAAATAAAAATATAGATCAAGTCCTCCAATTTGGAATAATAAAATAAATGTTAATATAATTAGATATTAAAACTATCGGAATGAATTAATTAAATTACCTGTTGTTGTAGAGCAAAGATATGGGCAACACAGCCATAAACTGGGTCCCGAAGTCGGGCCTGAGCCTCGTAACAAATAGTAACGACCGCGTCGAGCCGCTTCTGAACCGGAATATGTAGGAGGAGCTTCGATACGTTACTAGCTCCAAACACCTTGTGAACCGCCGCGAAATGCGCCGCCCCTTGCTCCGACTCGAAATACGGCGAAAACACGCAACCCGCCGCACACTTCCTTCTCAAAAACTTGCATGCCCCGCATGGCCCGCCGGCGGCGGCGGCGCTAGTGCCGGTAACATTTGAAGCACTCATCTTTCACCAAAACCGGTGGGAGTACTAATTAAAGACTAATTTGTTTTTTTTCTTCTTAATTTTCTTAATTTAAGGTTATTGAATTAATTAGGTAGAAGGAGAGGGTTTATTATATATAAACACCAAGAAAAGACTTTGAAGCCACGCGATGAAGCAAAAATTAAAATTGCGTGAAGCAAATTAAACAGCTGTCTTTTTCCTACTTATCTCGTGAGATTTGGGTTAATATTATATAATTAACAAATATATATCACGTTTTTAGTTTCTCTCTCACACTTTGTGTAAATCAACACACATATTATATGTATGTTGATTTACAAATATATACACTGAATTGGAACGAAATTCTCGATTTCTGTTAAATTTGATCTGAAGAATTTCTGTTAAATTTGATCTGAAGAATTTTTTGCACGACTTTTCAATTCCGATTTCCGAAAATGGTCGGATCGGTATCAGAAATACATATCCATCGATATTTTGGAATTTTTGAATTCCGATCCAAAATAGTTCCGATTTTTTTCTCATATTTTTTCGATTATTGCTGATATGTTCCGAATATTATTAATATTTATTAATTAAAATACATTGTTGTTTGAAAAAACATTTTTTTGAAAAATTCCAAAAATATTACAAAAAAAATAAAACTCAATAATATTTCAAAATTTCCGAAAAATTGGAATCAAAATCAATTCTTGAATTCAAAAACAAAATTGAATATTTTCCAAAAGAGTTAAATCCGATCTGATCCGATCCGTCCGATTTTCACCCATAATCATCCCAAGTTATGAAAGTAACTATATAACTATCAAATGACATATCTACCCCCATCAAAACCATAGTAGTAATTTACAAGATCAAGTATGTGCTATATAGTTATGGGGACAATTAAGGAATTACTAATTTGAGGTAATTAAGTAATTATGGTTGTCATAATCCTAACCACTTGGGAATGCTGCTTTACCAACATTACAAATAAAGGAAATCAGAAGAAGGATGTTATCAACACTAATCACTTTATATTAATTGATTAAGTAACTAATTCCCATTATCTACCAATGGAAAAAAAATACAAATTGGGATTAAAAAAAATATTTTTATATAATATTTAACTAAACATTTATTTTAAGAAGGGTGGTTAAATTTATTCGGATTAAATTGACTAGTTTAATTTGAATTTGGTTTATAATTTTTGACCTAACAATAAACAGTTTAGTAGAACATTTATAAATTAATAGCCTCGTCTGATAAAAATGTACTAAATTATTAATTGAATAATTTAATATTTCACTCAATTAATAAAATTATTTAAATTTCGATTCGCTTAATTTATAGAAATTTAAATATAGTTTATATCGAGTGATTCCTTGGAAGTCAATTGACTAATTAAAAACGGAATTGCGAATTTGGAACATTGAAGAGAGAGATAACGGCGCCATCACCGCGCCGTCCGGCTCTTTGTCTAAAGCGTGTAGTTTGAAGAGGAAGCAATAAACGGACAGAACGATTTTATGGGACCCAGCCCTTGACCGCCGTCTGTATAACTTTGTAAATTATTCTCTCCATGTATTATTCAATAAAATCAATAATTCATAGTTAATTTTGTGGATAGTAAATTAGTAATTAAAAATAAAACAAAACATTTTGTCCCAAAAAATTATATAAACAATATTTAATTATTATTAAATTAGAAATAATATGAAAAATATTTAATATTAAATCATTATATTCTAATTATATATATTAAAACCCTTTTCATTTGATTTTAATATATACTCATTTATTGATTTTCTTTTGGTTTCATTTCATTATGCCTAATTTGTGTGAGTTCCAATGAGCCTACGATTTATTCATCTACTGGACCACGTGTCTGATTTAAAAAATCATTACTGTGAAAGTTCAATCCCCTTCAAATAAGGTTTGGGTCCAACAAATTAGTTAAAACTCAATCACGAGGTATATATATATATATATATATATATATATATATATATATATATATATATATATATATATATATATATATATATGAGCTAATTGCACATAACCCCCTGTGTAATCTTGAATAGCCAAAAAAGTTATAAAAATTAGCAAATACCCCCTTATGTTTTGTTTGATAAAGAACATCGTCCCTTTTTTTTTTAAATTGGCTGCTAAGTTATATGAAATTACTAAACTAACCCTTATAATTTTTAATAATATTTAAATTTTAAATAAATAAAATGCATAAAATAAAATAATTAAAAAAAATGTAAAAAACGAAAGAAAAAAGAACAAAAAATTTATCACGCACAGGGCCATCAACTCATGGCATCATCTTCCTTCCCCAATCCAATTCTTCCATCCAGCCCTCCACCGTCGCACCACCACTGCAAACATACCCGCCGCCCCACCTCAAACAATTACTTCAAAATATTTTTAATTCAGATCCACCATTACAGAAACGGAGAAGGGACGGGCAATTCTTTCAATTCTCATCTGCCAATTCTTCAATGTTAAGTGCCTTCGTCTTCTGCCGGGTTTCGATGGAGAAAGCAATTTTTTTTGTTTTTCCTTCTTTTGCAAACGGGGTGGAATTCTGGAGAGATCGGGGGGGGGGGGGGGGGGGGTTTTTTTCCCCCTTTTTTTTT